GGGGGGGGGGCATATAGTGTTACCCATGTCCGTCCCGTCCCGATTCAATGTAAACTCGCGTCACGACCCATCCCGATTCAATGTAAATACTTAACAACTTCATTCTTTCATGGATTTTGGTCAAACTTTATGCAAAGCTCAAGTATAAGTATACTTTGGACATTGTTGTGTTTCAGGGTTCCAAGGTCAAGGCCAAGGTCACTGTTGCTATATATAGAAAATCATCAACTGATTCAATTTAAACACTTGGCAACTTCATTCATGTTATGGAGATGGTAATAACATACAGAAAAAAACATGAATATTAAAATCAACTTTAAGTGTAGTACCTTGTGTGTGTGCATGTTTCAGGGTATCAAGATCAAAGTGGTTGTAACTTTTTATAGGACACTGAAACTAATTTCACATGGCAGCAGGGGCATTTATTAAATGTCTTACAGACATTTTCTAGTTAACACAAGTATGTTGCAGTTTATTCCATTGTGTAATTGTAGCCTCTTGCCTTAAAATAAAAATATAAATAAAGTCAATATGTTTTCTGGGAATAGCATTAGTTCCGACACACCGATAAATATTTTTTTGATGTTTTTGTGTGGATGACAAGTTACAATATCTATTTTGCTTCTTGCAGAACACAATCCAGGAGCTGTTCTCTGAGCCAACAGGGCTGGATTCCCTGGTGGAGCCCAAAGTGACTGAAGTAAAGATGACGACAAAGTCCCTTGGGGGTGGGGACGAGCTGAAGGAGATCAAAACCCCTGTGGATGGTAATAAGCAAACAGTGGCGCCATCAGACAAGAATATTGTAGCTCAGTTTGAACAGGTAAACATGATGCTTGAAGATGTTTATAGTATTTCTTGCCTCTTGATGAACACCATGCCATCGAGTGGGAGGGTTGAAGTATTGTTAGCTCACTTGGTCCGAAGGACCAAGGTGAGCTTATGCCATACCGTGGCGTCCGTCGTACATACATCAACAATTTCTTCAAACGACTTCTTCTTCTTAACCCCTGATTGGAATTTAACTAAATTTTACTGGAAACATCCCTAGGTGGTGGGGATTCAAAATTGTACAAATGGTGGGGCTGAGGGGCGGGGTCAAAAGGGATCAATTTGGCTATATTGCTTTAAGCGACTTTTCCTCTGGAACTAAGCGATGGATATCAACCATATTTTACTGGAAGCATCCCTAGGTAGTGGGGATTCAAAATTGTACACATGGTGGGGCTATATCGCTATAAATGTCTTCTTCTGTAGACCTTATCACTGGATATCAATCATATTAGGTTGGAAGCATTTAAGGATTCAAATTGTACAAGTAGTGGGGCTGACCCCCTTGGCTAAAGGGTTGGGCCAAAAATAGTTTATTGCTTGGAAATGGTTGAGATCCCCACCCTATAACCATGTATACAGTTGCTGAGAATGAAAAGAAGAATGCACATATGTTTCCAGGATTGCCCAGGGGTCTGGCCCCACCCTTGGAGACAAAGTCCCTGGGTCATAACTTTGAAATGGTTGAGATCCCCACCCCAAAACTGTATATACAAATGCATGGCATAAAGAGACGAATGCAGTCGTGATATAAGAATTGATCCTTGGGTCTGGCCACAATCCTAGGGACCTAGGGAGTCTGCTCCACCTTTGGAGACTTGACCCCTGGGTCATAACTTTGAAACAGTTGAGATCCCCACCTCAAAACTGTATCTACAAATGCTGGGCATAAAGAGACGAATGCAGTCAGGATATTATAATTGATCCTTGGGTCTGGCCACAATCCTAGGGACCTAGTTTCTGAGTCACACCTTGGAAACTGTTGAGATTCCCACCCCATAACCATACATAAAATTGCAGGGCATGAAAAATACAGATAGGATACAAGGATTGTCCTTGGGGTCTGGCCTATTCCTTTGGATCTTATTTGGAGAATATTTTGCCTTGATTACTTTGATATCCAGGTGAGCGATACAGGCCCTCTGGGCCTCTTGTTCATGTCTGTTCACCTTTTGGACATGTCAAAAAAATCAAGATTATTACCATTGATCGAACATTACCACTGCTATGTATATACATATATGGCCCCAAATTCTTTGTTACATGGCTACATTTTCCAAAATTTTGATTTGATATCGATGTGAAAAAGTACCAATTTTTAATTTGCAGCTTCCAAGATTGAAGTGATAATTAAATGGAAAAGTTAGTGGTTGTATTGAAAAGTGGAAAAAAGTGCAAATGCATCAAAATAACATAATGCATGATCAACATGATACTTTACCCTCGTGTCATTTCTTCATGATGTTTTCATGGGCGGTGAGGATGTCGCAGATATATAAATTGTGGTGTAGGCATTAATGAGGATGTCGCAGATATATAAATTGTGGTGTAGGCATTAATGAGGATGCCACAGATATATAAATTGTGGTGTAGGCATTAATGAGCATGTCACAGATATATATAAATTGTGGTGTAGGCATTAATGAGGATGCCACAGATATATAAATTGTGGTGTAGGCATTCGGAAAGGCTGAAGATGTCACAGATAAATGAATTGTTTTGTAGGCATTGGGAAAGGCTGAAGATGAGACGGATGTGGTGGCTGCCAACCTTGTGAAGGCTGAACAGAAGGCAGAACTTGCCGAGTTTGATGAGAACATTCCATGGGATGAGCGAGAGGCAGAGAAACGAAAGGAGGAGGAAGAGATGTCCAAAGCAGAGCAAGAACTTGCCATGTTAGACAAAGAGGTAGGTCACAGTATTGTTGTTGGACAAAGAGGTAGGTCACAGTATTGTATCGGGTCTACCATTATAACATTGAGAAAAATCTTTAGTATCCTAAACTGCATACTCATGTCTGCCCAACTGTTTGACAAAGTTCATTGTCATAGAGATCAATTTAAGTGTAAGCTTTAAATCCGGGGAGTGGAGAACAATAGGCCATTTTCAGTAAATTACATATAACATCCATTTATTAGCTCACCTGACCCAAAGGGCCATGTGAGCATATATAAGCCGTACTGCGTCGTCAGTCTGTCTGTCAACTTTTTCTTTGAGCGACTTCTTCTGAAGAATTTGAGGGCCTAGGGTTATGATATTTGGCCAGTAGGTACCTGGGATGGAGTGCTTTATAAAGTTTCCTCATTGAAATGACCTTGACCTACTTTCAAGGTCACGGGGGTCAAACATGTTTGGATTATAGTTACCAAATTTGGTCTTAAGTTATCTATATGTCAGTTTCATGTAACAAAAGAAACAGGTAAGCGATACGGGCCTTCTGGGCCTCTTGTTTACGCGTTGCTTTAACCCTGAGCTTACTCTTGGTGAAATTCAACTGTTCTTCAAGAGAGAATATAAACCAGGGAAAATAAATTCCTACTTAAAACACTTTAATTGCTACTGGTGCAATTAAAACTACCTGTCGTAGGAAACAAGCAACAATAGTTGTGAACATCAAATGTTTTGAATGTAGGATAACGATAGCTGATCTAACACAAAATCTGATTGTAAAATTGTAAACTCTGTTTTTTAATGTCTGTAAAGTTTGACTGAAAAATAGACTAAATCACCAACTGAATGAAGGATTATTTGGTTATGCTGATAGGAAACAGTTGTCACTATATCAGTTTGTGATTGAAATGCAGTAGAAGGTTCAGCATGTTTATTTAGGAAAGTTGAACTTGATGTAGGTGAGAAATTAACATCAGTAATAATTACAATTTGAAAACTTGACAACATATTGAATGTTTTGATGTCACTGGTTTCTGTGTCTGTACTGAGTTTGTGTTTTGTAGCTCTCTCCAATTGAGAGGTTTGCAGTAACATTTATGGAGAATGAAATGAAACCTGATGACAACCTGGAGATTTCTGTGGTAAGATCAGCTCTTGCAGTATTACATTTCATTATCGGTACTTTCAGAAATCAGTCGGGGTAATTTGTTTACAGTTTTATATCATTACAAAAGTTCATGAAATAACAAAATAACAAAACAAATATCTTGCTATTTTCATGCTAGAAAATTTGTTCAAAATCAAAATTTGTCATTTCTGGATTGACCATGTCTAATACTTTATTACCAGCGATTTTGTCTTTTATTCTATTATGACTTGACACGGATGAATAAATTCAGATATAAACCTTTGTAATGAAATGTATTTTGTAAGCTTTTGAAGAAGAAAAATGTGTGTCATCTTATTTTTTGGATCATTGTACAAACTAATGATTAAAACAATAATCCTAGACTATATCTGTACTTGCTTGTCTACAGGAAGAGATTGCCAACTCCAAGAAGGACTGGGAGCTAGCCCGATTAAAGGCATTGAAGGAGGATGAGGAACGTCGCCTGGAACTAGAGGAAGACGAGATGCTTTACACGTACCTCCGTGATGACTCTTACAACCAGGTGAAGAAACGCTCCGGCAAACAGGCCAAAAAACCTCGTGGCAACCTCACCAGTCCTCTGCGCCAGTCAGCTGGTCGCAAGCCTGGCACCAGGGGGCGTGGTAAAGGTGTAAGGGGCCAGCTGGTGTCGGAAAATGTAGAGAGAATTGTGGGGGAGGTGGGGGATCCTGGGGAGGGGGAAATTGTGGTGGATGATGAATCCGGTAGTGAACCCCTCTTAGATAGACTGAAGGCAGCAAGGAGTGCCATGAGAAATCTGGCTGCCAAACTCGCTGTCCCTACAACACCAAAGAAGAAATCACCCGTAAAAAATATAACAACATCAGAGGATAAACTTTCACCTCAACCAGTACTTGCTTCCAAAAAGGCGACCGCTCGCCAGGCCAAAGCAGCATTACAGAAACAACTAAAGGGAACAAAAGTGCCACTGAAGGTTCCCACACTTACTCCTCCTAAAGTGTCTATCCCCACGACCCTAACGTCACTTACACCTCCCAAGGCTGACAAGAAGTCGGCAAGTCTGACTGTACAGCGACTGGTTGCCAAACAGGCATTACAGCAGCACCTGACCAATGTGTCTCCAGGGAATGCTGCATCACAGGGCAATCCAGTGTACTCCTCACCTTCCACCAAGCTCCCAGGGTTAAGCACCCAGCCCCAGCTGCTCACCCCATCCCAGCTTCAGCACCTTAAACAAATTATATCCAAGGCCCACCACAACATCAAGCAGACACCTGTCACGGTCAAGGGTTCAGTGTCCCAGGGAGTGCAAGGCACACCTGACCAACCCACATTCACCTCGATTCCCCAGCAGGCCATGTTGCAGGTAACCCAGCCCCGCCCCTACCAGATAGTGGCACCCCAGGGGCAGGCACACCAGACCATACGACATGTCCTCCCTCAGGGAGTCGCTGCCCAACCCATCCAGCATGTGGTCAAGCAGATGCAGGCTCTGCCTCGGGGCCAGCTTCTATCCCAGGGCCAGCCCCAACTCCAGCTGGTTTCCCAGGCCTCTGGAATACCTGTCTCTCAAGCCATTCACCTTGTCACTCAGAACCCCCAGCTGGGAGGTCAAGGAGTACAGTTAGTCACCCAGGGGACTCGAGGCCTACCAGTTGTGTCTCAGACCCAGCAGATTCTGACCCAGACCCCAGGGGTGCAGCAGGTGATTGGTGCCCAGGGGAGTGGGGCCCAGCCTACTATCTCCTTCATTAAGGTCAGTGGCAACTCAACAGTGGCTCAGCAGCCTGTCCTGCAGTACTGTGTGAACCCGATGGTCAGTCAGGGGGTAAGACTACATGCAGCCAGCCCTCAGTTTCAGGGGGCCAATCCTCAGCAGCAGCAGGGACTGGTTTTCCTGCAACTGGCTGGAGGAAAGGCCATACCAATGTCTGTGAGTGGATCTACTATAGCTATGCCCATGGCTAGAATGATTGGCAACAAAATTGTCCCGGGCACCACTATTCCTTCTCCAAGACTGCGACATGTTATACCCAACACTGCCATAGGTCAAGCCCAACAAATCTCAGTTGTCCAAAATCAAAACCCACCAGTTGCCACTCCTCGTCTTTCTATGCCAATGTCCAGATTCCAGTCCCCTAATCATGTCGCCAGAGCCACCAAAACTAACTCGAAGGTACCTAGTGTTCCGATGGCTGTGGCAGGACCCACGGACCAGGTCTTGAACAGAGCACCACCAGTGGCCCTACTAGGTGCTAAACGCTTACCCAACACCACCACTGCAAGTTTGTCTGTCCCACAACCCTGGTCAAACCCTAACCTTGTCATACGTACCAGGCGAGCAGTCATGCAGGACCATACGCCAAGTGATAGCAAGGTTGAAGCAGAGGTTGGAGTGCAGAATGATGTAGCCCCTGCGACTGTTAGTGTGGCCAGAGCATCTAATCCGCAGACTTTCACTATCGGGACAAATCCCCAAAACCCGCAGTTTATCAGTTTGATCAAAGCGGGCAGTAATCCAGTGATCCCTGTTGGGGCCAATGTAACTATTAAGAATGATGCCCTACCTTCCACTGTAGAGACCTTATTTCAGCCGTTTAATATACAAGGTACGCCCCCTGTAGTGGAGGGCACAAGCAACGGCACTCTGCTGTATAATGACAATGGATGAAGGATGTCTGTTACACAACATGTTTCTTGCATGACCGATATTCTAAGTGCTAATCCTAAGCAAGACTGAGCTCTGTGCTACACGCACTGCTGGTCAAGTTTCTGGGTCCAAATTAAACTGTAAATTGGTTGTGATTTGGAACATTGAACAAAAAATATTGATACAGCATCAAGGGGTTTGTCCACTTGTGTGGATCAAAATGACTGTAGGCCTTCACCCAATGTCGACTATGAAGTGAGATAATCACTTGTGTTAAAACAACCTCAGAACCACACAGAAACTAGGTTTGTATTGTACCACACAGAATTTGTTGTTTTTGGTGTCCAATAAGCCAGATACTTGATGGGAGGACAAAATGTCGATTTTTGTAAAACAGTATTTCATTGATAAAGAAGAAGAACATTCATCATAAAAAATCAATTGCTGGCAAATGTGTGGCTTAAGGGTTACAGCCAGTGCCAAAAATTGCAACATTGACAACTTATAAAGGGATGTACATCATGCTATTTCAGTGTAAACATGTTTGGCTAGATTACCTTTGTATAAATGTATGTAGCAAAAGAGAATTTGTTGCCATACAAATTCATTTGTTTTGTATAAATGACTTGAATGGAATGTACATCTGTTATATGTAGAATTTTTTTGTTTTGGTTTTTTTGTATATATATGAAAAGAATGTGAACATGTGTTTGAAATGTGGTAGTGAATGCATGCCTTACCTCTCGGTGACTGTGAGATTGTTAAAACCTGTGTAAATGGAGGGATGGATGAGCAAGGGAGCAGGCATAGGATGGAACATGTGAGCAGAAGTGAGACACACTGGGTGTTTAAATATGTTAGAGAGATGAAAAGATTGTAGCAGTCTGCCTGTATGCTAATTCTTTGTCTTTTAAGTTTTGTGTATGATTGGGACTAAGAATGAAAGAGGATACTAGAGCTTGGTGTTGCTACATATTGGCGACAAGACCTGGACACCTGGTGTCACCTGATATGAATAAAGAGTTCAAACGTTGCATTATATTAGACTCTGCATCTCATTTCTTTGTGCTGACGATGTTGATCGGGTTTTGACGGGTTGCCATGGTAACGGCTATTGCTGGTCACCCGATTCAAGGTTACTGGTGTCTATATATAGACGGTGTAGGCTGTGGAGGTCTCGGCAGACTTCTTCAATCTGCGTCTCATTTCTTCCGTACGATGCTTGACCGCTTCATCCAAATGTCTTATTGGTAAAGTAAAAATATACAGAAATATATATAGAAATTGTTCAGAAATAATCCTTTTTCCGTGAAATAATATCGCCATTATTAATTTTAGTAGATAATGAGCATATCATCTGATTATATGTCACATAGGGGGAAATGTAATCCTTTTCAGTAAATTTGTATTTGACAGTTGGTTTTTCGCTGTATTTCCCCCTCCAATAACATTTCAGTTTTAAAGTTTTGTAAATCTACATATACGATAAATTGGTATGATGTAGGCACCACAACCTTGTGTCGAGTGATAACTGTTGGCCGCCTGCTGTTGCCGGACACATCGTACACAGAAATGAGATGCCGTGTCTGTCTGTTCGTCCTCTGCCCAGCCATTTGCACACAAACGCTAACAGATATATGCTACCTCACTGTGACATGTACCTCTTTTCAAAAAGAATTCCACATTCAGAAACCTATAAACTTATTTAATTAATTGATAACACAGTTGAAAACTAAACAAGGTGCAGTTTTGAAAAGTTTTGACAAATTGTGCCAATTGAATTTGATAAGGGAGATAACTATAAAACAAATTGCAGGTTATGAAATTTGAGGTAACATGTTCCCCTAAACTATCCATTGGACGAAACAAATGAGACTACGAATATTGCTGGAGGATTTTGGAACTCGCCCAGGAGACGCGTGGTACTGAAATCTATTGCATTGAATTTATTTTATGATCTAAAATAAGACTAAGTCGCCTTTCTTGCAAGGTTGTCCAACAGGATTGAAAAGGAAGGGTTGACATTAATGTTGCTAAATTACAGGTCAAGCCTGGAAAACTTTGAGGTATTTAGTGATAAAGCTGTAAAAAAATACCAGTTAAAATGGATAAATAATTTTATACCTTTATCTAAACTATGGATGTCACAATAGAAGTTTAAATTGCAGAAATGAAAATGAACATTATATTGCATGAATATCTTTATTGTGACTGTAAAATGACCTTAAATTAGTTTTATTTGCAATATACTGGTTCAAGAGAATCATGTTGTAAAAGGATATGATTTAAAGAAATTTTCCATTACCACCAGTGCAGCAAACCAGTTTCCTGAAGCTAGAAATTGACATTTAAATGAAGATTTTACCAGTTCTTTACAAAATGGAAATGGATGAATTCGCCGAATAAAAATTCCTCGAAATAGTCTTCATTATCGGACTTTAAATTCACCAAGGTAAATAGAAATCTGATTATACCTAAATTTCATTGAGTATCAAATTTTGAAGGGGGGGGATTAAAAGAAAAAATCATTCTAGCCAACATCAGCTATATAAGTGTATTTTGGTATTGGGGGCCAGGATAGTCTAGTTGTCAAATAATATTCACTGATTAAAATATTGAAATATTCAGGGGTCAATTTAGATGATCCTTGAGACTCTAGTGGTTACACTCTCACTCTCACTGCAGAGAGTGGAACACCCTGGAGTATCAAGATTTGATAAATTTTCAGGATACACCGGGTCATGATTTTTTTTTGTCTCTCGATTATTACCTGATCTATTAAAATGTCATTCCAACGAAAATGTGTTAAACCAAGCACTATTTGGCAATGTATAACTTGGAAAAACTGCAATATTTACACTTTCACTGCAAAATGTCAAAACCAGCTGCTCCACTGACTACATTTTTTAAACACTGCATTCAACATTTAAACCTAAAGTATGTTAATTATTTACGCATTGTCAAGTCAAGGACAAATTAAACAAAAATAGCAAGGAATTATATCTTCACCATTACATAATTTGCTTCGAATTGAGACCTGTTTCACATGGAAATTGCCTATATCAATAAACAAAGGGTTGCTGGACTTGAGAAGAGGACTGCCTGAAGTTCTGTAAAGATTTTGACAAAATGTTGTTAGTGAACAACTGCTGGGTTGGACGAATAGATAATTGCAACAAACTTACATGTGTGTGCTCAAGTGAGGTATGTGCAATGTGTCAAAGCTGGGTTCTATAAAGGATGTAGTTAATATTAAAAAAGACAGGCAATACTGCTAGATTGACCTATCGTGACCATTCTGTTCTGATTGTTTCTTGGATACCTGGCTTTTTAATCACAAGTATAGTACTTTATAAAACAATCATTGTAATGTGAAAAGGAAAAACTTGATGTCGTACTTTCAGTGATCAGATGGATCCAGGTTTAGTCTTGCACGTTGCCTCTTGTACAAAATTATCCCATTCAACATCTTCAGTATTGAGACCTATTTGATGGGTAAACTAAATATTTAATTCACTTTGTAGATATTCATCTCGGATACAGATCAAGAACATATGCCGGTTGGTATTATTTCTGTCTTTGGCACTTTAAAGATACAAATGTAAATAAATGCATATAGCTTTAAAAAAAAATAAAAAAATTCATAAGGTAACAAACCTTATGAAAATTTAAAATAAGTGATATGGAAAACCACTGAAAGAAAAGGAGAGTAGAGTTGATTATGGCTTCATGTATATCAAATACTTGAATTCGTGAATATGAATCCACAAAAAAAATATCTTTTCGTTGATAGCAAAATTATTGGTGAAAGTTACGAAGTTATCCGATTGAGAACTTGCCCCTATCTTATGTAAGATCAAAGGTTGCATCCCCACATTATGATTTGTATGTGGTGTGTGTACTGTAGATGTGGGCACCACCTACACCCCCTCACGATGACAATGATATCTACCTGGACCAGACCATGTGCTTCCTGTATGAGCCAACAGTTATGCCAGAGTCACAGCTGCCACCAATTTACATCAAGAAAGAGCACAAGAAACCCAAGGTTGAGTCCATCACAAGTATGTATTTCCACAATATATATATAGAGATATAAAGGATGATGACATATAAAGCTTATACTGTGGAAGTTATCTTTCACTTGGAGACTATGCAATCATGACTAAAAGATATGCAAATTATGATTTTGCTGTGCATTTGTGACAAATTGTACAAAAGTTTTCATAACTTGTATCAATCTTTTCAGACATATAAAGGAAAAATTCCTTTAGTGGATTTTATATTGGGTGAAATAATCGAGAGTAACATCAGTAATGGTATATTAAAACTTTGATCTTTGTATGATACTTTCATTTCCAGCACGTAAACAAAAACAACGAAAGGAGGAGCAGCCGAGGGTGCCCCGTTCCCTGTTCGACCGCCCTACAGCAGCTCTATTGAGGATGAGACGCGAGGCAAAACTTAAACAGGGTGGCCTGCTCAAACCCTTCCGCCCCGTCCCTCCAGTCCTTAACAAACCAGCTGACCAGTCATCTGACCACCCAGAATGGTTAATCCACGAAGACTGGGCACTTCTCCAGGTAGGTGCACCTGCTGGTCATTACGGTTTGTTTTGTATTGGAAGATAATGTTATGCTTGACTGCATAGACATGATCACTCCCCATACTATTAATAATAGATTTAAATTTTGGAAAAATCTGTAAAATGGATACCAGATTCTAGAAAGTCCTAATGTATTTCCTTATGGGTGTAATTCCTGACATTCCCTCATAATGTGGAGTGAGAACTGGACTTGTTTCCTAACCAAGTTCATTTGTAAACGAGATCTGTGTCGCTGTAAGGTAACATTCACATTTAGGAATATAAATGATAAAATCCAGTCAAACGTGCTCATGCAACCACCCCAATTAGGAAACCACCTTGGTTAAGAGACCACTTTTTGGATTTTCCAATGGTAGTCTCTTTATACAGGGTTGGATGTACATGGCGTTTTATACGCCCGTCAAATTTGACGGGAGTATTATGGTATGGCGTTGTCCGGCCGGGGTAAACTTTTGTTTGTTTCAATCTCCTACATTTTTCGACCGATTTCTTTGAAACTTGGTATACATTATAATGATGATATGAAGTTGTGTCTCCCTAAAAAGAATTTTGATTCAACAATGTTTCCAAAAGTTATTGCCCTTTGTTTATTTCAGTATTTGATTTTTGTCCGGCCATCTCTTCCTTCTGTTTTCAACAGATCTCTTTGAAACTTGGTATACATTATAATCATGATATGAAGTTGTGTCTCCCTTAAAAGAATTTTGATTCAACAATGTTTCCAAAAGTTATTGCCCTTTGTTCATTTCAGTATTTGATTTTTGTCCGGCAATCCCCTCCTACAGTTTTCAACGAATCTCTTTGAAACTTAAGTAGGCTTAATTATCATGATATATTATTGTGTTTCCTTAAAAAGAATTTTGATTTAACAATTTTTGCAAAAGTTATTGCCTTTTGCTCATTTCAGTATTTGGAAAAAAAATCCGGAGGATTTCTCCTACATTTTTATTGCCGTTTGTCTGGTGTCAGTCGTGCGTCAGTAAACAATTTACATTTTCGACTTCTTCTCCAAAACCCCTGAACCAATTTCAATGAAATTTTGCAGAAACCTTCCATGGCCAAAGGTCAACAAAAACAGTGGCTGATTTGGTCCCCAGCCCCCAGGGGCCTGAGGGGCAGGGCCAAAAAGGGACAATTGACTGAAATTTCAAAAATCTTCTTCTCAATACCCAGATATGGTAGAATCAAAAACTCTTCTTAGAAGGAAGGGTCTTCAGGTGCTTTACCAAAATTATGAATTTCATGACCCTGGGATCTCATGTTTTCCCCTGGGGAGGGAGTAAACTTTACTATAGTTTATATAGGGAAATCACATTTTGGACAAACATTTGTTTAATTTCCATGGGAAGTAATTCAATTTAGGTTAGCATTATTAGTATTGGATAGCAGTTTGATGGTATGCACATATCAGCCCTGACTGACCCCCCGTGGCTGATGGTTGGGGCCAAAAATTTACTATGGTTTATAAATGCAAATGATACTTTGTATATTACATGTTAATAACTTGATTGGAATTATAACCCTGAGTTGACAATTTGATACTTTGAAAATTTTGAGCCAGCCCTACCCCCCAAGGGCTGTAGGGTGGGGCCCAAAGGAGTCAGTGTGCTAAAATTTCTCCATTTTCTTTGTTAAGAATCGGAGATGCTAGTTTAAAATACTTTTCAGTCTTAAATCTGTATGCTAGATATTGAATAAGGTGGTTTTATTGTTTTTTGTCACTTAGAATAATATTTCTGTTCATGTTAAAAACAAAATCAACTCTCTGTATAAATATATCAGGTGACCGTTAAGGCCCATGGGCCTCTTGTTATAGCATGTCAGCTAACCACTCTTTGAATGATGCAGATCTTATTTCAATGTAATAAAGTATATAACACTATATAGCATTCGACGGGCGTATATTGTTCCACCCCACGGTACTCTTGTTTGATATATTCCTTGACTTTTTGTGTGTCAGAAGTTGGAAGGTAGGTATACTATTGTTATTTCACATTGTAGAATGTTATAACGTTTGTGTAATACAATTGTAGTTTATGGTAAATCTGTTTATAATTTTGTTTGACCTTATATGACCTTCAGATGGACTTTATATCTTCCTATGTAGGCGGTTCAAAGTCTGTTTGATGTACCGCTGAACCTGATGGTGGTGTCCCCTGCCCATCAGCTCAACTGGGACTTGGTGGCTGACATTGTGAGCAGTGTTAGTCGAGTGTATCGCTCTGCCAAACAGTGCAGAAACCGCTATGAGAATGTCATCATTCCACGTGAGGAGGGACGCATCCTGTACGACATCAATCCCCGCAAACAGAGCAAGAAAACAAAGGGAATATACAAGGTATGACTCGGCTTGGTTTGGTAAACGAATGGAAAAAATACAAATTGCACCCTAGAAAAGTGTTTGTAAGTTTCATTGTTTCACACATGAAACTGGAATGTTTCTCAAACTTATTGTTACTAGTACATAAAAACGTTTCGGGTTGTTTTTTAAGAAGAAAGATTGGAAAATAGGGGATACTTTCTTAAATGGGGAAACTTCACATACAATTGGGAAGTATCGGTTCTTTCCTGCTTCGTTTATCCCAAACCTGTAAAAACTGAAAAAAATCTTACAAGATTTGGAAGTGTGAAGGTTGAGAATTTACTCTGATTATAACATGAATGTTTCAGACAAAGAACAACCGTCCCATGCGTACTAGTCAGCTGTATGTTCAGGACGGCAACCAGGCCATTACTATGTTACACTCACTAAGGTTTGACTCGGCTAAGACACTGGCTGCCAAGCGACCACCCACACTCAAACAGACTCTAGTGAGCCCTACACCCAAGAACCCCAAACATGCAGCTGTGCTGTCCGAGAGTGGTATTACATACGATCAGCCATTGGACCCCATGAATGTGGCTGAGATCCGTGCTCAGAGGATCCAGAGGGAGAAGAAACAGAATCAAGCTGCAGCAGTAAGTGTAGCTCACTTCTACTTCACCGACTCATCATCCTTCAGGCTTAAATAGGTTTATTGTTTAAATTTGTGTGTTTACCATTTAAGTTGATCTGTCTGTATGACATCATGGTCAAAGAAGATTAATTTCTTTAGGACTGTTCTAGAAAAAAGACAAAGACATCACCCGGGACAGCACCTTTTTTTAGGTCACCGGAGACAAAGTCTCAAGTGACCTATTGCGATCGCCTTTTGTCCGTCGTGCGTCCGTAAACAATTTACATTTTCGACTTCTTCTCCAAAACCCCTGAACCAATTTCAATGAAATTTTGCAGGGACCTTCCATGGACAAAGGTCAACAAAAATACTGGCCGGTTTAGTCCCAAGCCCCCAGGGGCTGATAATGGCAAATGATACTTTGAATATTACATGTTAATAACTTGATTGGAATTATAACCTTGAGTTGACAATTTGATACTTTGAAAATTTTGAGCCAGCCCTACCCCCAAGGGCTGTAGGGTGGGGCTCAAAGGAGTCAGTGTGCTAAAATTTCTTCATTTCCCTTGTTTAGAATCAGAGGTGCTAGTTTCAAATACTTTTTAGTCTGAAATCTGTAGGCTAGATATTGCATAAGGTGGTTTTATTGTTTTTTGTCACTTTGAATAATATATCTGTTCATGTTAAAAAAACAAAATCAACTCTCTGTATAAATATATCGGGTGACCGTTAAGGCCCATGGGCCTCCTGTTTAGCAAAAGACCCACCACCCATAAATCAATCATTTCAGTTGATCCCCACCACCCACTTTTACTATTTTACTTCATACCCAGAACCCATGACATTAAAGTTGACTAATTAAACTGAAGTACCTGAGGTACTTGTGACCCTCATCTTTGTGGCACTGCATCAACCAATTTGTCTTTGAATTCAGTCTTATAGTGCAGTAAAGTTATATTCTCAAAATATCCAATCCTGACTACAGCTACTTATACTGATATAGTTAAGCCATTGTACAGTAATAGTAGTAGTGCATTGCTGAACGGCATCACATCTCGCCATACCTTACAAGGCTCGCCCTTGCCTTACCAGACAACAGCATATTTCACCATACTGCTTGCTCCTTTCCTTCAGCCTTTAAGTTGACCTTGTATTGACAGGCTGCGACTGCAGAACAGCAACACTTGGCAGCTCGGACAGTCGCCCAGCAACAAGCTGCGGCCCCTCAGGCAACTCCTGCACCTCAAGCCTCTGCACAACCCCAGCCTGTCACTGTTACTGCAGCCATTGCAATCCCACAGGGGGCCGTCCCTCAAGGGGTAGTCACCCAGCATTTACAGCCAATCCAGACCACTGTTGCATCTGTCATGGTGAGTTATCATCTGTCAGCCAATCAAAATAACTGTTGTGTTGCATTGGGTTTGATTTTGGTGTAAGAGATAGCTGAGCATCTAAGGTAAATATTTCTTGCCACTAACCACAATACTTTTAGCAAAAGAATTTGCATTGAGGATGAACAAAATAGTGAATGACTAGGTCCCACTGGATGTATTCAAAATTGAATTAGTGTTTAACAAAAACCAGCCTTTTATTTTTCAGTTTGCACTGGTTTCACTAAAATAAAAATGTTGTATATATTGCCAGGCAGCAACAGCCGTGCCCAAGTCGGGAGTACCACAGGGAGCCACTACCGTGTCTCTAGCTCGCAGTGCTGTGGGAGCAACAGGCAACATTGTAGTAAATACCCCCAGTGGAGTGGCAGCTAACTTTGCTGCTATCAATCGACGTATGAGTCAGGCTACCAGTCTAGGCCAGGCCTCCACAGTGGTGAGTGTTGTTACACATTAAAATGACAAAGAAGGATCATGAAAAACTTTTACAAGAAATTATCAACAAGTTCTTTAAAAGACATTATTGCATAATGGATTAAGTCATAACTTCCAATATTTCAACTGATGAAAAATTGAATAATTTATCCACCCAGCTTTTGGGCAGAAAAGGAGGGAGAGATGGTGGTAGGGTGGATACATAGATACCTGGTATTTGATTAAGTAGGGGATGGACTGAAATGTGGTAATAAGCCTGATTGAAATGATAAACTGGCTTAAGGTGACATTTCCACATCGTCAAGTTATAAGGATCTTTCCTGATAAATCGAAGTTCCAAACTCCATTGATAATTTATTAGGATCCACAAGGAAGGTCTGACTGAAATCTATATATAAACACTTGAAATAGAAAGATGTGAAAACGATGTAAATGGGGAAAAGAAACGAGATGCTTGATTTGCCATTGTAACATCATTGCAGTCAGGTGAGTTATCGAAGATTTATCTGTTAGCAGCTTGGAAACCTACTGATAATCCTCTTTAGTGGAATGTGATATATGTTATGTAACACTATCTTTGAGTGTTTATTTTTTATGCTTATTTAGACGGTGACTGGAACACTGAACCCAGCAATCCGTGCCCAGCGACCCCTAACCATTCCCATACAGGATATTACTTCCATCACCAGCCAGACTGGTCAAGTGACCCATGTAGCGACGACAGGCCAGGTGGCACGCACACAGATCCAGACAACAGTGCCAACCCTGACATCTACCCAGCTGGCTCGTATCGCTTCCACACAGGGAACCACTCTTCCCACAGGTAAGAAATATGCCAGGAGTTTCACAAGTAATATCTTCTAATGTAGTTATTGACAACAATATATCTGTGGAAAATGGAAGATGGATTTTACAGTAACAGAACTTTTGATGGTTATGTATTCTTGATGTTTCAGGTACAGTGCAAGCAACCATGACAAAGGCTTTGACACAGCAACAGTTAATTGCTCTCACTCGACAACAGCGACAGACCACTTTCCAACAGCAGCCACGCAAACTTAACTTGACGGTGAGTACATGCACATCTTGCAGCAATTACAAACTAGATCTTGAACATGTGTAAATTCAATATAACAGATAAGATCTCACACAAGTCCAAACTCAATCTTACAAGTATACGCTGAATCTTGCAGTGCAACCTCTGTCACACACTGAGTAAAAATTCAGCACTCAGATGAAGATATGTTCAGTCCCAACATGAGAACACGGAAAGTAGCCAGCACTGAACAAACTTAACCGCTCATGAACACTTCATTCTAATTCTGATATTATATGCTGTTACAGCCAGATCAAATTAACCAGCAGAGGTTAAAGCAACTTCAACAAGGTCGCGGTGTCGGTGCTCAGAAGGTCATAGCCCAACAGCTGGTCACTAGTTTGGCACAGGTAGGTATTGTAGGCTTCACATGGGTGTCAGTAAAACGTTCAGGCCATCCTTAAAATATTCCTTGTTTGGCATTGACCGACCCACCCTACCAGTACTTAGGTAGGTAGGTAGGATTTTTTTAAAATTTTATTTGAACAAATATGAATTTATTAAATTCAATAAAAAAAAAAAAAAAAACACTTTGTGAATCAATGTCAACAGCCACTACAACAAGAACTAGTATATCTGGTACATACACAACCATAAGTAACTTGGAATGACTAATATGAAATCATAAAGATACCAATGTACTACTTCTATAACATAAGAGGCCGCTGGTCGGCCTTTATTCTATCGGATATGATTTTGCCAATTTTTTAACCACGCACCCTCCAAAAACAAAAAATGTCATTATAATCAACGTGATGATTGTGAACATTACTTGGCAGAAGAAGAAGAAACCTCTTATTTCCGAAGCACTAATTCTTTGATTCAGATCTGCTCGAAATGCGGGCGGAACGAAATCGGCTTGAAAAACTCCCTGAAGTGGTCAACAGTTCATGACAACGATGTCTACTCACGGTTCATATAATATATCGAGGATCTGACACGTGTTCATGTAATATTGAATTTATTGAACGAGTTTATTAATTTCATATGAAATTAATAAATGAGTTTAATATATTAAACATTATATGAACACAAGTGTTAGATTCTATTTATTATATAATTCGAGAAACACTCTTTTTCTTGACACGTCTCCTCTATATTAATTGTACCGATGGCTGACGAAAGGACGCATAACATGCATTTTGTTTGGAGCTCGCTGCACCACAAAAAATAGTTTCAGAAACTTCTTCCCGAATACCTTTTCAATGAACAAACAACAGATGTGGTAGACTTTATACAATATACAGATGTGGTAGACTTTACACATCTGTATATTGTATAAAGTCTACCATATCTATATATTGTGCAAGTCTACCACATCTATATATTGTATAGATGTGGTAGACTGTATACAATATACAGATGTGATAGACTTTACACAATATCCAGATGTGGTAGCCTTTACACAATATATAGATGTGCTAGACTTTACACAATATACAGATGTGGTGGACTTTACACAATATACAGATGTGGTAGACTTTATACAATATATAGATGTGGTAGACTTGCACAACATATAGATGTGGTAGACTTTATACAATATACAGATGTGGTAGACTTTATACAATATACAGATGTGTAAAGTCTACCACATCTATATATTGTATAGATGTGGTAGACTTGCACAATATACAGATGTGGTAGACTATACAATATACAGATGTGGTAGACTATACAATATACAGATGTGGTAGGCTTTATACAATATACAGGTGTGGTAGACTTTACACAATATACAGATGTGGTGGACTTTACACAATATATAGATGTGGTAGACTGTATACAATATACAGATGTAGTAGACTTTACACAATATACAGATGTGGTAGACTTTATACAATATACAGATGTGATAGACTTTACACAATATATAGATGTGGTAGACTTGCACAGTATATAGATGTGGTAGACTTCACACAGAAGTTTTCAGAATAATCGTCCTGAAAACACTACATTAATTTACACTTAACACAATTGTCTGTAGTTGCGTAGGTCCATATAGTAAATATAAACAAGCGAAAAATAGTTAGGATTCACAAATTAATATGTTGGACACAAATTCTCTGAATGTAGGTTCCCAAGCAGAAGATAGGCACCTCTCTTGCACGCCAGATCCCACAGGAGCTGTTGTTGCACCAACAGAAGCTGCCCCAGAAAACGCAGGTTCAGGTGGTAGCTCAGGGCCAAGCTGGCACCCAGCTCCAGCAGATACACATGGCTACCACACAAGGTGGTGGGGTATGTATACTTGATAGTTATATACCGTATTGTAAATACACTCAAAGGTATTGAAATGCCAATGCAAACATTTTCATTTATAGCATAGGATTTCCTGTTCATGATTTTTTTTTATGATTATAAATCCTATCTCAAGTTTATATTTTCAAGTAATCTCCCCAAAGTTTATAGATTAAATGGTAGAGCATAAATGTATCAATCTTAATCATCACAAACTGGATATGCCCAGAGGGAGGATTTATCATTTTCATTAGTTATTCACTTGGATCTGATTTTCTGTTATGATCCCTGGCAGTCAAAGCTTGTGTAATTTTTAGTCCCGATAACTTCAAGCATAGAGTGATTTCAGAGCTTAGCTCTGGTCATATTTAATCTAGACAGGTGTTACGAGCCTGTGCTACCTACATACACCTATAAAAGGATCCCGGTATCTCTGTCAAAAACTTCCGACTGTTCATTGAAAACATTTTCTGTTGTGACTACAGCTTTCATAAATCATTCTAAAAGGAAAACATAGCTTGTGGAACTTTTATGACCAAAAAAAAGATAAAATTTGAAATAAACAAAAACAAAATCAGTGTTCGGAAGGTACAATTGCAATAGGGCCAGATGGAGATTCATTTGACCTCTTGTTACTATGCTGTAGCTCTAACCAACTGGGATACCTGGTCAACAGTAGTGCCAGTTCTGCTTCAGTTGTACTCCAAATGGAACTAATGTACAGATAACTACAGCTGAACTCAGTTCTGCTTCAGTTGTACTCCGAATGGAACTGATGTACAGATAACTACAGCTGAACCCAGTTGTGCTTCAGTTGTACTCCAAATGGAACTGATGTACAGATAACTCCAGCTGAACTCAGTT